ACATTAGTGTAGTTAGTATAAATGATGGAGGGGCATTTTTCCCCCACACTGGTGGCTGCACTCCCTTAAAGTGGATGAAATTCAGACAATCAAGTGAGTGAGGCCATTTGAAAATCTAGATTTATACAAACTTACTTGTTTTCCCGCGTACATTTTTCTGTTGTGATGGTTCAGCAAAGAACAGTAGGCAAACAGCTCCACTTGTCTACGTATATTATTCCGGTGGGAATAGATTGAATGGAAACAAAACAAGGATACCTTTCCTTTTGTTTAGCTGATCTCTCCCTTTTAACTAACTCCTTGTATTCAGAAATCAAGTTGTAATCTGTATTTTATTATTGTCAATCATCCTGAATGCCACTTTTGATGGAAATGAGGGATGTAAATTTAATAAATAGTATCTTGTCGTATCTTCACTCCAGGCTGCTGATCTCATCATCAGTCCATCTTCTACTTTGAAATAAATTGCTGGGCTAAAAACGCTTCTAGTTTACCATTACAATTCCTGTTTCATGGGGAAAAAATGCTTTTGATGTTATTTTATTGTTTTGTTTCTAAACAACATAGTATTTGGTTTTGAAGGATTCTTTTAGTTACTGCTTGGCTTGAAGCGGTATAAGGATAATTGAAGATAAATTGTAATAAAACAAAGGTAGCAGTTTTTGGCAAAAGAAATATTAAACACAGATGGATGATTAATGCCCAACAAATAGAGCAATGTCCCTTTTTTAAATAGCTGAGCATCACTTTTCATAGGTCTCTTTTGTAGAAAACATACTAATCTACTGGGTTGGCAACTGTCCAATGCACAGTGGGTGCTATTGTTGTTGTTGTTGAGTTGCTAAAGTCATGTCCAAATATTCGTGACCCGATGGACCACATCACATCACACATACCCCATCCTCCACTGTCTCTGGAATTTTGTCCAAATTCATGTTCATTGCGTTGATGACACTATCTAACCATCTCATCCTCTGCCGTCCCTTTTGCTTTTTGCCTTCAAACTTTCCTGACATCAGGGTCTTTTCCCTTGGGGTGGATTTACTAACCTGAAGTGTTTTTTTTTTTTTTTTTTTTGGGGGGGGGGGGATAGAAGCACCTGATTTCCTCTGATGAAGTTTTTTTTTAATGCTAGATTTTAGAGCTGTGTGATACTTGGAATTGATTCTAAAACAGTGACTTGTAGTATGTGGGTACAAATGTATCACCTTTCTAGAACTCTTTAAAGCAGCTGCATCTTTATGGGATAGTGGATGCTTTGAGGAGTTGAATGGAAGTACTTTGTTTCCAGACCCACATGCTCTAAAGGATTTTTTTTTTCAGAGTCAGATCCTGAGTCCTACTAGACTTTGGTTTGTTTTCCCCAATATTCAATGGCTCCTTCCATTATTTAGAGCAATTTATGTTTTTTTCCCAGGGCCATATATCAGATCTATTATTTTTAGATGTTTATGTATATTACTCAATTTCATCTTTACATTGGAAAACATGATCAAACTAACTAAATTAGAAAAAGGGGAAAGCTCATTCCCCACCCAATCAGAACTGAGATACACAGATATCAAACTTAAAAGCAAAACTTCTTTTTTGAAAAGTTTCTTTTCTAAAGTTTCTTTGCTGAAGTTATCATTGACAGCCAGCCTCTTGTGCTATTTTTCTATCCCATTTAACTTCACATACTTCAATGTGGCACACAAGTATTTTATTTAAGTACTTGTTGTAAAGTTATAAACCAGGAATCTTCACTATCATCTAGATGAGTTGGTCTTCATCTTCTGTAATTCTAAATCAATCTGGCAAAAAGGTTTAACGTCTAAGAATCTAAGGGTCACTACATTGGAGTGTCCTAAATATTCTTTCTATTTTTGTATGAATCTGCCCATCATATGAGTTCATTGTTAAAGCTCTCCTCAATTCCAGCTCCTTCTATGCTAAAACTTTTCCTGCTTTTAGATTCAATTTTTATAGTGACACACACTGCTGCTATGTAAATTACACTTTGTTTAAGGTTGACGAGATAACAGCAGATAAGGAATGCAAACCATAATAGTCTTGGAAGGAAGCTTGCCCAAATGGTTTGGCTTTTAACAGGAGAGTGCAGAAGAATAGTCAAAATTCAGTCCAGAATTCCAAAAGTCAGGTCAAGCTTGTCAGGCAATCCAGAAGTCAGAATTTCACAAGCAGATCTCCCACAAATATCAAGCAGGAGCTGAAGATCAGAAAGTTGCTTCCAACAAAGGATCATGGGACAAGCTGCACTAATCAAGAGATTTAGTCCCTTGCTTGGCAAGGAGCCTCATAGAACATCTCTATTCTGTCTTCCTGTTTACTCAGTAGGCATGTGGGATGGGAGGTCCAACATAGTCTTCATCTGAATGCTTCAATTGCTCCTGCGTTACCTGTGTTTGATCAATGTCAGGGGATTCTTGGCTTTGTATCTCTTGAAGCTGACATTCCACAGGTTTTGCTGAAGCAGCTTTTTCACATTCAGAATCAGCCCTTGATCCTAGTTAGGAAACACACGGTATTCCATGTCTATAGAGATTCTCAGTCATCCAGCAGGGGTGGGATTCTACCGGTTCGCACTTATCTGATAGAACCGGTTGATAACTTTTTAAGCAGTTCGGAGAACTGGTTGTTAGAAGAAATTATTGGCCTAATCCTGTAAAGAAGGCAGGAAGGAAACATTCTGGTGTTGCTGACAGAAACTGCCTCTCGTTAACTCTTATTACATTCTTGCAGGACTAGACTTCTTGTCTCAGGAACTTCTCTGGAGTTTTTTCCCCTCCTTTGCTGGTACTTTGCTTGTGTGGAGTGACCATTGAAAGTTACAATGGCACCGAAAAAAGTAACATGACCATTTTTCACACTTATGACTGTTGCAGCATCCCCATAGTCACGAGAGGCCAGGGGAGGAGATGCATGCCTCGATGTGAGTGATATTGAGTTGGCCACACCCAGCCAATAACATAACCACCAGGCCATGTCCACCCAGTCACATGACCACCAAGCCATGCCCCCCACCTAAGCCACACCCACAGAACCAGTTGTTAAAAATTTGAATCCCACCCCTGTCTTGCTTTTTCAAAAGACAAGCTGGACTTTGTTTTTCCTTGAAGACATTTAACTTCTCAACCAGAAACTTTTTTTCAGTTCTTCTTCACTTCATATCCAAAAGCTTCTTCAGTTCTTTCAGTTCAGTTCCTGGATGAGAAATGAAACAAAGTCCAATTGCCTTTTGAAAAAGCACCTTTAAGACGTGGTACTCCAGTTATCATTGAACTACCACTCACAACATCCCTTACTACTGACCATGCATGGCGAGATTAGGAGACATAGCTCAAAGGTTCCTTCTTTCCTTCTGAGCTAAAAATAGAACCTTCTCTCGTAGCAATAGTGCTGTCAATATTATCTTTCTGATTTCTTGGCTCCATCTGTTCTACCTCCTTGTATCCTTAATGACAAATTAATATGCATCTGCTCTTCGCTGCTGTCTGTCTTTCTGACTCTTTTCTTTATATTCTGTTATTTAATTTTGTAAGTTATTGGTTTGACTTCTTTCATTATCTCTGGTACTTTGGATTGTTTAATTCGTGGCTGTAAGTACCTCAAGGAGAGAAGTGATGGATTGAAAAGATGTTAAAAAACAATGGAAGTCTCTGCCTACATAGCTGCTTAATTGTTTATGAATCACAGGACCTGTGTAGGGGAAGGCTTTTTTTTTTTATCTCTTCATCATGCATTGTGAAATTTGAGAAGTGATACTTCTGTTGAGTGAACAAATGGCTGCACATTTACAATAAGGGCAGAGTCCATTGGTTGTTTTGATATTTTATAAACTTTTATTAAACTTTTACATAAAGCATAGAACATAAAACTAACATAAATTAATAAAAAGGGAAGGAAGGAAGGAAAAAGAAAAAAAGGAAAGAATAAGGAAAAGTAGAAAGAAGGAACTTCCAATTTCCCTTATAGCAAACATAGGTATAATTACACAATTATCTCTTCCTCATGGTCATTTTGATATGAGTTCTGCCAAGGGGGTTGTTCATCTCTTAATTTTATTTTTATTTTTTATTTTTTTGTATCCCACTTTTATTATTTTTACAAAAAAATCAAGGCAGCGAATAAATTCAACACACCTTCCCCCTCCTCTTTTCTCCACAGCAGCAACAACAACAACCCTCTAAGGTAGGATGGGCTGAGAGGGAGTGATTGCCCAAAGTCACCCAGCTGGCTTTCATAGCTAAGGTGGGATTTCAACTCACAGCCTCCCACTTTCTAGCCTGGTGCCTTAATCACTAGAGCAAACTGGCTTGTTTAAGCCAGTTTGCTTAGCTAATTGTTGGCTGAACTGCTGAATTTCTGAAGCTGAACTAAAAAGGCAGCGTTGGTCTTTCTTTATTGATAACTCTTGGGTGGGTACTAGCCTTGAGCGATAGGTATAGTCTTCCTGCTGAGTCATACAAATAACTTTCCACTGAACCGACAAAATCTCAAGATGATGTAATTTGGGCCAGTACTTCTACTAACTTTGAGGAGGCAAAATAAAAAGTTTGAGCTTTGTTGCCTTTTCTGTCAAATCAACACCCAAAATCTGTTCCATTCATTCCCTCGTTTTGCAAACTCCTTCAGAGTTCTAAAATAGAGAGGTTTTTTCTTCCCTCCCCACCACTAATGCACAAAATAGAATTGCATTTCATTATGTGGTGTTCTTAGGTAGTTTTTCTTCCCACCTCTTTGAATGTGTTTTAAGAGGCCAGCATACAAGAGAGTGCTATATTAGTGCATTATTCCGACAACAAACAGGCACTGTTCTGTTGCTACCTGCTTGGCCATTGTTCTCTGTTGTGTGTGCTTTGCGGTGGTATTTGGATGGCTTCCTGCCCTCGGCTAGCACAAAAAAGGCATTTCTGTTACAATGGCCCCTAACCACACAATGACGGCATTAAGGATTTATGTGGAGGTTTCATTATTTTCCCTTCTTTTGTTCCTTGTAGGATGTCTTCCAAGCAACCAGCTTCTCCGTATGGGGAAGCAGATGGAGAGGTAGCCATGGTGACAGGCAGACAGAAAGTGGAAGAGGAAGAGCGTGGCGGCCTCCCAGCCTTTCACCTTCCTTTGCATGTGAGTTTTCCCAACAAGCCCTGTTTTGAGGAATTTCAGCCAGTTTCTCTGCTGACGCGAAAGCCTTGCGGCCTTAGGACTCCTGCTTCTCAGCAAAACACAATGGTAGGTCTCCTCCAGACTCTATTGTGCTTTTGCGTTGCCTTCGCACTCCCCCTTGGCATCTAAAGATCTCCCCTTTTGTGCATCAAAGTCACTTTGCCACTGGCATGGATGGAACATCTCACAATAATGTGAAAACTCTGACCCGTTTCCAATCACGGATGAAAACGCCATCTTGCTGGGCTCCAGTTCTCTACAGTTGCATCCTGTTTTAGATAGCAATCCCGATGTGAAATGTTCAAATTGTTATTATTTTATTTTATTTATTTATTAAATTTTTATGCCAACCCTCTCCGCTACAAGGTAACTCTGGGTGGCTATTATTATTCCCTTGGTCGAAATAAAAATTGCATGTGTCCTGTCTACTTCTCAAGTATGAGATGGCCACACAGAGTTGCTGAAGTTTAGTCCAAATTGCCCACAGTTTGGTCCAAATAAATGGGGAAATGTACAAATTAGGGAACACTTTATATGTTAGTAATTCACATATTATATTCCCCACCCCCTGCAGCTATGCAAAGGAGTCTCGGATACCTTTTCCTTTTATATGATGTTTTCATCTCTATTTATTTCAGTAGATACCAGATTTGGTATCCCCATCTATTTACAACTAACAAAGAAGCTTTTGGTAAACCTGAAGTTTGCAAATGTATACAAGTCTTTCAGATTTATTTTTTTTGCTAGTTCTGTCTTAGAATGAAAGGGGGAAAAACCCCTCAAAACAGATCAGTTAGAAGTAAAACAGAAAATAGAATATTGGCTTACCCTTAGCAAAGGGGGAAAATGTGCTTAGTTTGTATATTCATGCAGACCTACTTCATACTATTTACAATGCACAAATCACATTTCTCTGATTTTTATGCAGAATTGATCCCATTTTAAAATTTTGTGCATTAGGGAAAAGTAGATAGCAAAATGTCAATACATTTCTGAAAACCATACACAATGATGCATTATAATTTAGGAGAAATGTTTGCAAAAATACCGATTTATGGCAGACTAGCTGCAGAAATTTTTGAATATATCAAAGAAATGCGAGATTTTTTTTTTTTTTTAAAAAAAGAAGACAAATTGATGCAGAAATAGGTTAAATTATATTTTAAAAAGGAGAATAGGAAATTCTGGGAAACCAACTGACAGATTCATCAATTCCTACTGATTGCAGAAATCCAGGATTTGCAGATAGAACCATAGGTGGTTGGAAAGAATTGTGTAACAAATAACCTTAAATGCCAACACCTGGTTGTAGATTCTCCTTTTCAGTATCCAAGGGCATCACTTTCCACTTTGATCTTTTATCAGCCAAGATTTTGTGGTGCTCTTGCTTCATAAGTTGGCTCTATGAAGCAGAGGCAGGAATACCTGGCAACCTTTTAAGAAAACCCTGACTGATATTCTTGGTGGTTAAACTTTACTTAGAAATGTCATTCTGGTTTGCAACTGATCCCAAACTGCAGTCTAGCCAATTTGCTTTCTTCCCCCCAAAAGCATTTAAAAACAGGAAACAGGAGACGCTGATCATGATCTTGAACCAGACAATCGCCTAGTAATCTCAAAGATCCAATCAATCATTGGTAAAGTCATAACTGAAAAGATTGATCAAAATGATTGGTGCCCTGGGCTGGTGTCCATTGTATTCAAGTAGAGAGTTTTGGAGATAACTAGTTTGAATTAGTTATGGTGGTAGACCATTAGAAATCCAAATGATAAGTCATATTGTTATTTTTTTTAATTCATTTTCACACAAAAATATTATTTTGAGAGCCAGTTTGGTCTAGTGGTTATAGCACCAGGCTAGGAAGCAGGAGACCATGAGTTCAAGTCCCACCTTAGGCATGAAAGCTGCCTGGGTAAGTTTAGGCCAGTTATTCTCTCTTAGCCCAAACTACCCCTCAAGATTGTTGTTGTTGGGAAAATAGATGGAAGGAATATTGTGTGTGTTTGTTGTCTTGAGTGACTTCTAAAAGTAATAAAAGTAGGAGATAGGTAGGTAGGTAGGTAGGTAGGTAGGTAGGTAGGTAGATAGATAGATAGATAGATAGATAGATAGATAGATAGATAGATAGATAGATAGATAGATAGATATAGATAGATAGATAGATAGATAGATAGATAGATTCCTTGATGTATGACCACAATTGAGCCCAAACCTTCTGTTGCTAAGTGAAACATTTTGATCACATGATCTTTGATCACATGATGCTGCAACAGTTGCAGGAGTGAAAAAAGATCATAAACCACTTTTTTCCAGTGCTGTTGTAAGTTTGAACAGTGACGAAATGAACTGTTGTAAGTCGAAAACTACCTGTACCTCTTCAATATACGGAGTACCAACATGTCAGTTCCCTTGTTTGTCTTTTATTTCTTCCTTACAGTAAGACATAAATATCCCCTTTTTTCTCTCTTGCCTTCTTCTTCCCTGCCAACCCCTTTTTTTATAACACATAGTTTCTGTCCACTGTTTTCTATATGCAAGGAATTAAACCATGCTGTGTGTCATTTTTGCAACGGACGTGGTGTGTTAATAATCTTTCTCCATGAAGTTTCTTTTGAGAAGTATCACCTGCCTGATGGCTAAGGATATGTTTGGAAGGGAATATATGCATAGACATTAATTGCTGCTTGAAAAGAGGAAACCCAAGCAGGCAAAGAATAACATGAACCTCTTAATATCTATGCTTATTATTGGTCTGTTAGATTCCCATTGCACGCATTTGCAGTCTCCTCCTCATCTTCCTCCTCCTCCTTTCAGCATGATGGTTTCAGAATGATAGTTTCAGAATATTATTAAGTGTTGGACCTGATGATTCTTGACTCTTGACGAACGTATCTTTTCTTTTATGTACACTGAGAGCATTTGCATTTTCTTGTGTGTCCAATCACACTTGGCCAATAAAAGAATTCTATTCTATTCTAAAAGAATAATAAAAGTTTGCAAGGAGAAACACAAGAGGGGGAAACTATATTTTGAATCAGGATGGAGCCTTGTTTTAACATTTCTAAAGGAAACAAAGGGAGAAACGAAGGGCATGTGTGGGAGAGGGCCAGATAACGCTTCCCTTCCATTCATTCATTGTCTTGAACAAGAATCTACCAAAAACCCAGACTCAATCAAGCAGAAAGGGCTGAAATTTAAAACAGTTTAGGTAGAGGAGAAAGCAGCGTGATCAGATTCATTGATCCATGGATAGGGCCGGGCGTATTAAGTTCTCAAAACTTGGCTTCAATCTCTGTACATTCAACTACTGTAGTGTTAAATCAGGCTGGCCGTTTCTTCATTTTGACATTGTCCTCATCATTAAAGAACAAAGCAGGCAGGCCCAACATAGTTTTTCTCTTGTGGAAATACCTGTACGTATTGAATTCTCAGCAGGTGGTAAGGGGCAGGGCTAAGAAAAGCCAGTCCAGGTTAGTTCTTGAGATGGGATGCTTCCAGGAAACCCTGCGGCTGGAGGTAAGACTGGGAAATCCCATAAGCATAGCAAGAAGCAACCACTTCTATGTTGTGTCAGGAAAACTATGTGGACGTAGTTTTAATTAAAATGATTTAATGAAATCACTTAAGATTTGAACCTGGCTCACGAGGAGACTGATGGTAAATCCATCCAAGCATGCTGTCCTTGAATCACAACCACAATTGTGGTTGTTGTTAAGTGAGTCACATCCAATGTTACAACCTTTCTGCCACAGTCGTTAAGTGAGTCACTGCATTTGTTAAGTGAATCATGTGGTCTTTAAGCAACTCCTACTTTCCCCATTGACTTTGCTTGCCAGACAGTGACTGGGAAGTTGTAAATAACAGTCATGTGACCATAGGATGCTGCAACCATTCCAAATACAGGCCAGATGCCAAGCAACCAAATTCTGATCACCTGACCAGGGAGATGCTGCATTCGTTGTTAAGTGCGGGGATTGGTTGCAAGTCACATTCTTCAGTGTAGAGCTGATGCTTTTCAGTTAGAACTGAAGAAGCTTCTTGGATGAGAAGCGAAACACCTTCAAGGAAAAACAAAGTCCAGTTGCCTTTTGAAAAAGCATCTACAGATAACAGATAATCAGAGTTGGAAGGGACCTTGTAGGTTATCTACTCCAACCCCCTGCCCAAGCAGGAGACCCTACAACATTTCTGACAAATGGCAGTCCAATCTCTTCTGGAAAGTCTCAAGTGATGGTGCTCCCATAACTTCCGAGGGCAACTTCTGTTCCATGGGTTGATTGTTCTCACTGTCAGAAAGTTTCTCCTTATTTCCAGGTTGAATCTCTCTTTGTTCAGATTCCATTATTCCTTGTCTGGCCTACAGGTGCCTTGGAAAATAGCTTGACCCCTTCCTCTCTGTGGCAGCCCCTCAGATATTGGAAGACTGCTATCCTGTCTCCCATGGTCCTTCTCTTCACTAGACTAGCCAAGCCTGGTTCCTGTAACCATTTTTCATATGTTTAGTCTCCAGTCCCCTAATCATCCTGGTTGCTCTTTTGTCTTTGGGACAACCATGACCTGGATGATGGAGAATTTCCATAGACATTTTTACTGCAGTTGTAACTTTGAACAGTCACGAAATGAATGGTTGTAAGTTGAGGACTACCTGTACATAATGATCCTCATGAAGTGCATTCTCCACTTCTTTCTTTTCCAGGTTTGAATTTGCGCTTTCCTCACTGATGGTGGTCCATGATTTTCGGTGATTTAACATGCTGAGAACAAATAGGCAGAACAGAACCATCTGTTTCCATAAGGTTCTGCTGCTTGTTTTGGGTCCAGATAGCCGTCCATGAAACATCACGAGCTATTTCTAGTTAAATACAGGTAGTCCTCAACTTATGGCCATAATGGAACCCAACATTTCCATTGCTAAGTGATACCTTTTTTCAGTGAATTTTGTCCTATTTTACCACCTTCC